CTTTTGCACAAAAAAAAAGCAGAAACCACACATAGCTGTGATAACCCGCCCCTGGTAAACAGAGTCAAGTTCTATTCGCAAGAATCCCACACCAACCATTCCAGAATAAAACCAATCACGGAGTTGGGAGCCTCAATCAAAAGTTGCCGTGGCAGAGGGAGTGCGATGCGATTTGCGGGTCTCGAACTTCACGGGGGAGCGGGGAGTTGTCGCGGTTAGCGATGCCCCACGTACCCTGGAGCCCCGAGTTCGATTCCCGCTCATGGCCAACGACAGTGGCGAATAATCTGAACCGGTCCCGGGCCTCCCCTAAGTCGACTCAGCCTCAAATGAGTCCCTGGTGCGGTGTGTAAACGTCGCCGCTGGGGGAGACAAAGGCGGTCGGGCGTGGTGCTGGCTACCCACCCCCCCCCATCGTGTGCCGTGCTCGCTAACAGCACTTGCCCCAACAGTCTGTTACAGGCTACACAGGAGGGAGGGATCTTTGTCCTTTTTTATTCGTCTCAAACTTAACACAGTAACGCACATCATCTACTGTCACACAAACACACAGCATGCATGGAGACAACGCTACTTCATAAGACTCTACAAAATGTTATAAATGGTGGAGATCGGCTCTGTCAAAGTTATTGTGACAAGGGCACGTAGTGTTGTGTGTGTGTGACTAAATCGACACACGGTACCCTATCCAACAGAAGTCACACGCGTACAGCATGATGAATGGTAACTCGCAAGCTGTGTGCACAAGATACACGCGCACACTGCGCTACGAACACAGCGATCCGAGTTCGATTCCCGTTCACGGCCAACAGTGACCTCTTACATGAACTGGTTCTGAGCCTCTCCCCGAGGTCGACTATGCCCCTGGTGCTGTGTAAACGTCGCCGCTAGAAAGACAAAGGCGGCCGGGCGTGGTTCTGGCCACCCCCTCGCGTGCTGTTCTGGCCTTCATAGGTGCTCGCTAGCAGCACTTGCCCCAATAGTCACTTCAGGCTATGCGGGGGATCTTTGTCTTTTTATTTCGTCTCAAACTACAAATACACACACGTTCTGTAATCCAGCACAGGTCTCTCTCTCACACACACACGGACACAAGATGAAGATCCCACGTGTAGCCTGAACACACTGTTTGGGACAAGTGCTGATCGCGAGCATCTGTGAAGACCGGCACGTCACGCGAAGTGGGTTGGTGACCAGCAACCACGCCCGGCCGTCTTTGTCTCGTTTTAGGCCGAGTAGACCTCGGAGAGGCCCAGGACCGGTTGAGACAATCGCCCCTGGGTTTGCCGTGAGCGGGAATCCAACTCTGGCCGCTAACCGCTGCGCCACCGCTCTCCACACACAGACACATAACATATACATACTTGCCGCTGGTGGCAAATTGCCGGTTTTAATGAGATAAACATCACGGCCAATTACTGAAGCCTCTTCGCTTCGTACTATTACAGTCAATCAATGCGCAGAGGAGCACGAGCCTAGAACGAACGGTATCAATTGTCCTTAAAATATATTTGAAAATAAACCATTACGAAAGTCTTATCGTGACCGCTTGAAAGCATTTTTTTTTCTCTTAAGGCACTTATGAATTTTCTAAGTTAACGGAAACGAACCCTTTTTTGTAAAAAAAAAACCCGACTATGTTTATGAAATGCACCGCACAACCACGTTCAACTTGCACTGTGCATCTTCACTCCCAGCAAAGTTGGCACGGGATAATGGGCAACGTTGAAATTCCAAGACTGTACTACGCCTGTGCACAACCTCACAATCAACGCATTGTTGCAAGGCAAGTTTGGGAATTACTATAAACTGTACATTTAGGGCCCGCTCTCTCTCTCTCTGTTTGCAAAAAAAAAATGCTGCGCTATTAATTCACAAAGTGTTAGGTTCCAAAGTTTTTACGAACCATTTTCTTTTTTTTAAACAAATCCATGCCCTTGCCAAATATTAATGCGTTAAATCAAAGAGTGTCTGGGCACATGCGCACGTCACGAGTTTCTGAGAAGCGAAATTTATCTTTGAGCAAACTTAAAGGTGGGTATTATTTAATATACAGTATTTTGGACTAATTATTCACATCCTGAACCACGCTCACAGACGTTGCGCGCGCGCGCACACACACACACAAAAAGCACACGCGTGATGTGTGACCTTGTGTTAAACCTCAACTCTGGTCAAACTCTTCACGCCAACGTTCACAACCCCCACACCAAGATTTCTCGGGAAGATTGCAGCAAATGCATTCATGAGGTAGGGGTGGAATTGTTTGTCTGCTGCAGTTAAACTGTGTACACATGCCTCTTTATTTCTGCTGGAGACGGGACCACATGAGCCAACAACAATCATTGTCATGAATACTGGGGTTAGTTCGCGTAAATATAAATGTGTCGTTAAACCCGCCACCACCCGACACAGCCAATTAGTGAGGTTTGTCACGTAGACAGAACGTGCCAATTCGTTACTCGTACGGCCCACCGGTGTGCGGGAGAGTAAAACCCACAACAGTTTGTGCCGTACTCGAATTGTAAAGGTTGTGGCTTTACTCTCCAAATCAACTCGTAACGAATTGGCACGTTTTATTTACGCGACAAACTTCACTAACTGGCTGTGACGGGTGGTGGCGGGTTTAACGACACATTTATACTGATAGGAACGAAGTTGCAAACTGCGTGTACCAGCCTGCAATAGATCAATGTGTCCGTCCGTCCGTCCCCTTTCAATACTTTAACGAAGTGAAAAATTCCAATGTTCCTACCAGCCCACCCTGCAGGGACCTGTTATTTTTGGCGATCTAACCCAGAAACCAAATTATAGATATTGATCACAAAAGCCTACTACGCATTAAACCAAAATGAATACTGCAGCACCATTGTGAATAATACATGTACATACACTTGAAAGATAGATTTAATAAAGGCCTCTCTACATATCGATGGTCGAGAAACGAATGGGATTCAAATGCCATCGGGCCTAGCCTTCGGAGACTGTCTAATAATGCAGCATGATTAAAAAAGCGAAGCTGATGCAATTATCCAAGCTCTCACAATCCTATAGATATATGCACATTCATACTATAGATGTCGTGAAGAATAATTTAGGAAAGGTTTCTCTACCATCGGACAAACACACGTTCAAATACAATGGTGTCTAGACTTTTTAAGACAAATGAAAAGCATTTGACTCGAAGCAGTATGTAAGTTTTCCAAGCTCTCAGAAACGTACGTGTATAACATATTATTGTATGAGTTACAGTGTATAAAGTAATGTTAATTTTATACGTGCCTACACGTACCTACAAATAATGAACACAGACGTAACTAAATACATACCGTATACACACAAAGACAAACACATAATATAAAAGTCGAATAACAGCATATAAGAAATGTTAATAAGAGACGTACTCTTTACTGATGCAGAAACACACATGAAAAGGATCGATAAAATAATGAATAGCACCATTCAAGCTTTTGCTATCTAAGTAACTGTAAAGGTAATTTACTGTACACGGGCATCATGAGGGTGATTGATTGATATCCACTTTTAATAAGCGCGTGGGAAGTCATAAGTCACGCCAATAGTTTCAACCCTTAACGCAGTGGCCTTAGAGAAAGTGTAGAGCTGTACGACGGGTACATATATACATATACATGGTAGTGTCAAAAAAGTTTGACCTGCAACAACAAAAAGTTCGTGCGTTCAACGTGTGATCATCGTACATGTCGGATCGCCACGTGCGCGCGTGTCTCCCTCCTTTACAAGTGAATTCACAACCGCAGCGTTACGAGAGATCCCGTTCAACGCCGTGCAGGGGAATCGCCAAACGAATGTTTTTAATCACGCAATGCCTATAACAACACAAGTATCACCACCAACAACAACAACCACCACCACCCACCCCCTCCATCTTGCTTGTCTCAAAAAAACAAAAAGTTCGCGCTCGTGATGAAAAAAAAGTCACGGCGTTGGTCGTTCATCAATTGTCACGTTTGTAGAAGTTCAAAAAAAAATTTTCGCCTGCAGCATTTGTGAGCTGCAGTTACACCGCTTTAGCAAACGGGTGGTGCGAGGTCGACCACCGGCTTCCACAGACTGCTTAGTCCGTCCGACTGCACGGCACACGTGGCCCGGGAGGCCAGGCTCACTCACTTCATCACACTCTGCTGCTGCTGTGTGTCTCGCACTCTCTCAATTGATCCACAAACACATTATGTAAGTCACGCTCGTGGGATACCCAAGTTCGCGTTCACTCAAAGGAGGAGGAGAGGAGGAGGAGGGGGGGCGACGTGAATGGACGGCATTGTAATTACACAGCAAGTCGGCCAGTCGAAACTCTGTGGCAGTGATGTCACCGCAGCGATTGTGCCAAGCTAGGTGCACTTTGAGGCCAATACGACAGATTCCCCCCACCCCACCCAAGCCGTATAGACTTTAACAAACAGTTGGCGAGCAGCTATGAAGGCCGACACGGCACACGAGATCATTTGGTGGAACATCACCACGCCCGAACGCCTTTATCTCCCCGGTGGTGGTTGGTGGTGGTGTTAACACATCGCACCAGCTACTCACTTAAGGCCGAATCGATCTAGGGGAGATCCAAGGACCGGTTCAGATATCCGTCACCGATGTTGACTGTGAGCGGGGAATCGAATTCGGTTCGCCCGGCTAACCACTACACTACCGCTACCCACAATGGAGAACACACACACACGTGTACATTCACACGTGGACACGATGGGTGTGTAATATACTTGCTATCACTATTGGCAGAATACAATTGAACGTTTATCATGACAGCACAAACTTCATCATCTCACTAACAGGCGAACATCCAGCAGCAGCAGCAGAATTATTAGCAAGATTGGATGGCATTGTAAAGGGAGTGAGGATCCATGTGATAACAGCAACACAAACACAAGACCCTCCAAAATGCAACGCTGTACTTTAACAAACAAAAAAATCAATAATACAATCATACGAATCGAGGTGAACTCACTTACCTGAGTTAGACAGAGCGGCGAATACATCGCTGGTGACGCTGATATTTTGGCAAACTTTCGTTTTTCTCTTCAGATTAAAAAAAAGTATTTAAAAAAACACTGTAAATATATACGCAAACACAGATGTATTCCTTTAAATGCCGATCTTCTCTCGATTTGTCCAGCCTATTGCAACTGTATAGCGTAGCATAAATACATTAAACTTATTTAAAAAAATTCAATTGTTATTTTATATATATAAGATAATAACGCACAAGAATAATGGAGATAACTCAAAAAAGGTGTCTTCTTGAGTTCCGTCGAGTCGTTGATTGTTAGTTGCTACGGATGTTTAAATTCACTTGTCGTCTCGTCTTCTTGCTTCACGTGTTTGGCTCAATGTATCTTGCTTGCTCGGCTTCCGTGGTTGGTGGGGCTGTCCGCGTAAATCCTTGCTTGGAAAAAAACCCGGTAGCGGTGGGTTGATCTCACAATTCACAAGAATAATTAATAATTATAATGATATCCTTCCTCGTGTTAAGTGATTGGCAAAGCCTGCATTGAATACTGAACTCATATATATAACCTGGACGTGCCTCTTTCACTCTCTCCGCATGTACAACCACATCAAAAAAAAAATCCTCATGGAATTAAAAGTATTTTTTTAAAATATATATACCGCAAATAAAAATCCTTCGAAGCTAAGCTAGCCGATCTCCCATCCCTCTGTACGTACAATATTGTACACGCAGCATTTGTATATACTTAGGCAACTGTTTTATTAATTGTGACGACCGGTACGGGCTGCAGTGACGACGGAGGAGGAGGAGGAGTGGGTCTCGTCCTGCCCCGCGTCGCCCCAACTGCGACTCCCAAGTCGCGCCTGCTGGCCCCGGGCGCTGTGTCTGTGTGCGCCTGTGTCTGTGTGTGTGTGTGCGTGCGGCCTGTGTCTGCGTGTGCGTGTGTGTCGCCTGTGTGTGTGTGTGTGCGCGCGCGCGTGCTACAATCTGGCCGTAGTGGTTTCAACGCCCGCCGATGTGAATCTTGGGAGGAGAATGGAGGCTGGCTTGGAGGGGTGTGGTGGTTGGTGGTGGTGGTGGTAGACCGGGGAGAGGGGATGTGAGAGAGTGAGGGGAAGGGGGGGGGGAGAGGCGGTGGCGGCGATGGGAGGGGGAGGGTTGTTTGGTGGTAGTGGCGTTCGTCTGTGTGGGTCGTGGAGGGGAGCAGCCACGAAGTTGCTGAGAGAGAGTAGCAGGAGCAGCGGAGAGAAGGGGGGGGGGCTCTATGTATGTATGATGGGGGGGGGGGGGCTCTATGTATGATGGGGGGGGGGGGGTAAGGAAAGTAATGGGAGGTGGGGGAGGTGCGTGTGGTGGAACGGGGAATAGGCGACCCGTCTTCGCGAACCCGCTCCCTCTCGCTAAAGAAGTTGCGACACGTGTGGTGTGTGTGGTGTGTTGTGTGTGTGTTGTTTGTGTGTTGTGTGTCGTCGCCGCTGTCGACTTCTCGAGTCGGGGGACGCGAACGTGAGAGCCGAGGCGGCGGATAGAAGGACGCGCGCGTGTGTGTGGGGGTGTGTGGCTGTGTGTGTGTGGGGGTGTGTGGCTGTGTGTGTGTGGGGGTGTGCGGGTGTATGTGTGTGTGGCTGTGGGGGTGTGTGGCTGTGTGTGTGTGGGGGTGTGTGTGAGGGTGTGTGGATGTGTGTGTGGGGGTGTGTGGGGGTGCTCGCTAACAGCACTTGCCCCTACAGTCTGTTAAGGCTATACAGGGGAACTTTGTCTTTGGGTGTGTGTGTGGGGGTGTGTGGCTGTGTGCGGGTGTGTGTGTGGGGGTGTGCGGCTGTGTGGGTGTGGGTGTGTGTGTGGGGGTGTGTGTGTGGGGGTGTGTGTGTGTGGGGGGGGGGTGTGGCTGTGTGTGGGGGGGGGGGTGTGGCTGTGTGTGTGGGGGTGTGTATGGGTGTGTGTATGGGTGTGTGTGGGGGTGTGTGTGTGTGGCTGTGGGGGTGTGTGGCTGTGTGTGTGTGCGGGTGTGTGTGGGGGTGTGTGGCTGTGTGTGTGGGGGTGTGTGTGGGGGTGTGTGTGGGGGTGTGTGGCTGTGTGTGTGGGGGTGTGTGGCTGTGTGTGTGGGGGGGTGTGTGTGTGGGGGTGTGTGGCTGTGTGTGTGGGGTGTGTGGGGGTGTGTGGGGGTGCTCGCTAACAGCACTTGCCCCTACAGTCTGTTAAGGCTATACGGGGGAACTTTGTCTTTGTGTGTGGGGGTGTGTGTGGGGGTGTGTGGCTGTGTGTGTGGGGGTGTGGGGGTGTGTGTGTGGGTGTGTGCGGGTGTGTGTGTGGGTGTGTGCAGGTGTGTGTGTGGGTGTGTGCGGGTGTGTGTGTGGGGGTGTGCGGGTGTGGATGTGTGTGTGTGGGGGTGTACGGGTGTGCGGGTGTGTGTGGGGGCGTGCGGGTGTGTGAGGGTGGGCGTGCGGGTGTGTGAGGGTGGGCGTGCGGGTGTGTGAGGGTGTGCGGGTGTGTGTGTGCGGGGGTGTGTTTAGGGGTGTGTGTGTGGGGGGGTGGGGGTGTGTGGGGTGTGTGTAGGTGTGTGTGTTTGGGGGTGTGTGTGGGGGTGTGTGTGTGCGAGTGTGTGTGGGGGTGTGTGGGTGGGGGTGTGTGGGTGTGTGTGTGGGGGGGTGTGGGTGTGTGTGTGGGGGGGTGTGTGTGTGTGGGTGTGTGTGGGGGTGTGTGTGGGTATGTGTGTGGGGGTGTGTGTGTGGGGGTGTGCGGGTGTGTGTGCGGGTGTATGTGTGTGTGTGTGCGGGTGTGTGTGTGCGGGTGTGTCTGTGTGTGGGGGTGTGTGTGGGGTGTGTGTGGGGGTGTGCGGGTGTGTGTATGTAGAGGTATGTGGGAGTGGGGGCGCGTGATTGAGCGGTGGTGCAGCAGTTAGCGCGCTTCGCTACGAACCCGGCGGCCCGAGTTCGATTCCCCCTCACGGCCAACACCGGTGACGATTATCTGTAGCGGTCCTGGGCCTCCCCTAGGTCGACTCAGCCTCATATGAGTAGCTGGTTGTGGTGTGTAAACATCGCCACTGGGGAGACAAAGGCGGCCGGGCATGGCTCTGGCCACCCACCCCCTCGTGTGCCGTGCCGGCCTTCATAGGTGCTCGCTAACAGCACTTGCCCCTACAGTCTGGTGAGGCTACACGGGGGCATATTTGTCTTCGAATGTGGGGGGGGGGGGGCGGGTTGCGGTAGTGCAGCTGTTAGCGCTACGAACCCGGTGACCCGAGTTCGTTTCCTGCTATCAGTCAACACAGACGACCAATATCTGAACCGGGACCTCCCCCTAGGTCGACTCAGCCGTAAACGAGTACCTGGTGCGGTGTGAAAACGGCACCACGATGGAGACCCACACCCACCTCCTGTGCGTGCGTCTTTGTCTTCTTTGAGGTGGCGTGCGTTTGTGGCCGTTGTGTGTAAGGTGTGTGTAAGACTGTGTATGTACTCAGTAGGGGGGGTGTGTGTGGATGTGGGGATATGTGCTCGCTAACAGCACTTGCCCCAAGCCTGGTAAAGGCCATGCGGGGGATCTTTGTATGTGCGGGTGTACGTGTGGGTATGTGCGTGTGCGCGCACGGGGAGTTCAGCACTATCGCAGCCAAATGCAGGACACGCCAAAGACAAAGATGCCCCATAAAGCCTTGAACCAAGTCGCAGAGGCACACACACATAGAGGCGTGTACATTCAATATGCTCACGCAGACTGACGTATACAACGCAGATCCATTCGCACGCGTACAGAGACGCGCCGAAGACACAATCCAGAAGCACACCGTGAATGTGCAGACGTGTTTACACACATCACACGCGTGCACATACGCAAATAAACACAGATGCACGCACGGACGTGTTCCCGCACACACAGAAGCACACACACACACAGACGTCCGACATATATCACGCGCACGTGCACAAAAGACACAGACAGCCGGACACGCACGCACGCATGCACAGACGCATTCAGAGACGGCATTCACACACAGACGCACACACACACATAGACGCACACACACAGACGCACGCACACACACATAGACGCACACAGACACACACACAGACGCATTCACGCACAGACGCACACACACACATACAGACACACACAGACGCACACACGCACAGACACACACAGACGCACATACAGACACACACAGTGGTGTTAGGTTGCGGTGGTGCAGTGGTTTGCGCTCTGCGCTGCGAACCCGGCGTCCCGACTACGATTCCCGCTCACGACCATCGCCAGTGGAGATTGATCTGATCCTGGGCCTCCCCTAGGTAGACTCAGCCTCAAATTACTACATGATGCGTCGTGTAAGGATCGCCACTGGAGAGACAAAGGCGGCCGGGCGTGGTGCTCTCCACGCACCCCCCCCCCCCCACCTTGTGCGCCGTGCCGATCTTCAAAGGTGCTCATTTAGCAGCACTTGCCCCAAAAGTCTATGAAGGCTATACGGGGGACCTTTTTTGTTCGTCACATTACAGGACAGAACAAGTGGTGTTGTACAGAAGAACATCTCTCCGCTCTCTATGCTTTCCCAACACGAACCCTCTACCCTATACTGTACACGTAAACACACCCTCATCATCTGTAAGCCTCGTATTGCCACCGAAAAACGTATTACATGTACGTACGTATCTATGCATGTGCACACGTGTGTGCGTGTGTATGTGCGCGCGCGTTTGTGCTGGTCACCTAAACTCTTCGTGTACCACAGCCCCCCCCCCATAGGTGCTCCCTAAACAGCGGAACTTGCCCGAACAGTCAGTGAAGGCTACACGGGGGATCTTTGTCTTTGTAAGTGATTGTTCGTGCACGCAGGTGGGGAGCGGTGGTGCAGCGGTCAGCGCGCCGCTCTACGAACCTGGCGACCCGGGTTCGATTCCCGCTCACTGCCAACACCGGTGACGATTATCTGAACCGGTCCCGGGCCTCCCCTAGGTCGACTCAGCCTCAAATGAGTACCTGGTGCGGTGTGTAAACATCGCCACTGGGGGAGACAAAGGCGGTCGGGCGTGGCGCTGGCCACCCACCCCTTCGTGTGCCGTGCCGGTCTTCATAGGTGCTCGCTAACAGCACTTGCCCCTACAGTCTGTTAAGGCTATACGGGGGATCTTTATCTGTGTGTGTCTGCGTGACTGTGTGTGCCTCAAGGTGCACATGGCCTGGCACAAGCGTCGTGGTGACGTCACCGCCACTTAGTGGCGAATGGCGGTTGTTGTTGTTGTGTCTGTGTGTGTGTTTGTGTGTGTCTGTGTGTTTGTGTGTGTAACTGTGTGTGTGATTGTGTGTAACTGTGTGTGATTGTGTGTAACTGTGTGTGATTGTGTGTGTGACTGTGTGTCTGTTGGCAGGGGTATCACAGCGGTAAGCGAACTCGGCCAACCCGACTTCGATTTCCGATGAGACGGCCACCACCAACAACGGTGACGAACCGGGTATTGGGCGTCGTCTAGGTCGATTCAGCCTCAAATTAGTAGCTCGTGCGACGTGGAAACATTGCCACGAAGAAGGACAGAGGCAGCTGGGGGTGGTTTTGTGCTCGCTAAAGGCACTTGTCCCAACAGTCTAAAAGGCTATTAACGAGGGGGGGGGGATGTGTGTGCGTCCGTAGCGTAGCGTCCGTGTGTTATTTTTTTTCTAAATTATGCTTTTCTTCCACACCCGATATATAAAAAAAATGAGAGACCATGAAATATTTAGTGAAAAAAATGGGGCTACATTTTATCTACTATCCGTAGGGTACGTTCACACTGTAGTGCTATGAATGCAAGCCACCATAACCCTATCCCCCTCCTTAAAAACACGTGTGTGTATAAAGTAAGGAGGTTACAGGCGCAGCCCTGCAATCGCTTGCTCACGCCACTGCTGACAGAAGGAACCCCCCCCCCCCCCAAACTCGACAGATCTCACGAGAGCCGAGGGTGTTTTGAATGGCCCACCACTCTTCCAAGCTGACTTAACACATCTTGGATGAGGTTGGAGTTACCCACACTTTAGCCCACCACACGCGATCGACTGACATCCCGATCGACCAACTATGCTGTCCAATCTGCTAACCCACTGCGTA